GATTGCCAAGGTCCGTTTCGGCGGGTGGCGACAGCAGCCACATGTGCAGCCCACTAAGCACTCCTATAAATGCTAAACAAACATTTTTTCAAATGCTAAAGGAACCTCCCTAATCTATAGGCAACATAAAAGATGACAATGACCAAAATATAAGGCCCAAAGAAACTAGGACCCTATAAATTAAGGTCCTAGACCCTACAACCAATGGTCAAAATACAAAACCAAAAATATTCTAATACAATTACTACTAAAATGAGTTTCAAACAAGAAAAATGTATAACAACTATAAGAGCCTTCTAAGGTAGGGTAGGCCTCCAAAGGTAGGGTACCCTACAAAATAAGGGTAGGTACCCTACAATTCTTCAAACCAGCTTTATCATCCTTCTTGGTCTTATCTCTTCCAAAGGGATCCTTAGGAAGTAGGTTTCATCATTGAGGAAGTTTAAGAACAAGCAATAAAAGCACAAATAATAAAAGATAAACTCGAGGACAATTTAATGTAGCAAAACTTAAAGAATGCCAAAGAAATATACAAACTAAAACTAAGGGAAGATTTGGAAGCTAGAACTCAAAAGAGTCTTAGTATAGGTTCTAGAATTGGATCACAAAAGCAATAGACTCAAGTCCACTTCCAAATTAAATTCAAATTCAACTTAAAAAATGTGACAAATATGTATTGTATTTTTATTTTCACAAATCTCCATTCCCTTGTTTTAGAAAATACTTTTCTCTTTTCTTGTATTTTATTTTCTATTTTATCTTTTCTTTTGGAGAAAATTTGTGACTATATTTTTTTAATATAGATTTTGGAAATCTTTTCACAAATGTTCCTAGAAGAGAAACTCAAAATTGCAAAATGATTTAGAAGTAGAAAATAAAAATTGAATCAAAATTTAGTGGAAAATTTTAGTGCAACTCTTGCTTTCACTCGTGCTTCATTTAGGACATTTCTAAACTTCAAAATAGTAATTTCATTCAAAATATTACAGAACCAAATTAATTTTCAATTTCACCAAATTTGAATTCAATTTGAACAAAAAAAAACAAGAAGAAACAAGAAATAATAAAAACTACAAGACATAAGGAAACCTAACTCTATAAGAACATATTAATGATCTAATAACATGTATGAACTCAAGGATTATAAACTAAAGCACCAATACTGATTGGCCAGCACCTTTATATGTATATTTTTAAGATTTTAAAAAAAAATTAATCACCTCAAAGTGTGATAAGAAAGAATTACACATGACTCTAAGACAACATACTTTTGCATAGATTTCAAAAAATAAAGCTAAATTAGAGACATAAGGAAACCTAACTCTATAAGAACATATTAATGATCTAATAACATGTATGAACTCAAGGATTATAAACTAAAGCACCAATACTGATTGGCCAGCACCTTTATATGTATATTTTTAAGATTTTAAAAAAAAATTAATCACCTCAAAGTGTGATAAGAAAGAATTACACATGACTCTAAGACAACATACTTTTGCATAGATTTCAAAAAATAAAGCTAAATTAGATGATCTTTTTTTAATATTTTCATTCACATCACAACATACATTAAAATAAAGGAAAACATAACAAACATGAATACTAAAGCCATACAACAAGATATGGTTCATATAAAACTAGATCTAAAAAAAATGAACCATAATTGTTTTTTGAAGACATAAAAGTAGATCCATGATTTAGCATATAAATACTAGATCTACCACAACAAAAACTCAACAAGACATGTAAATATTTTCATGAAGAAGAATAAAATATTAGAACCAAAGACAAGTAACTTTTACAACCTCATGAAGATGACCATGCTTTAGATACCAAAAATGGAGTTAGCTTTAAAGATGGCTACTGTTTCCTCTAGCTTCTTCCTACTCCCTTGATCTTTATCCATAAGGTCCTTTGAAAGAGAAGAAACTTGAAAATGGTGGAAAAATGAAGGAATGGAAGTAACTTTTCCAAAGAGAAGATGACGAAGAAGGTTTCTCACCACAAGGAAAGGATCCTTGATAAGAGATTCAAATGAAGTTGTATTTAAAGAGAGAAACTCTCAAGACTCTTGAAAGATAGAGAAAATTCAATCTCAAACTCATATCATTCAAAAGTAACGTCCAAACGATAGATTACATGTATATATAGAGTTTGATAGCTTGTGGTGAAAGTTAAGCTAACCAAACTTAGGCTAACCAGTATTTAAGCTAACTAACTCTAGTTAAAATTTGAAATTCAAATTTTAACTTCTCTTCTAAAATGGATGTCCTTACTAGATGTAAAAGAACAAATGAGAATTCACTACATGGTATGGTGTAAGAGGTGTGATGTGGGTGAGTTAGTAAGATAGAGGGTGTAAAAGTTAGCATGCAAAAGATGTGACTAATGAGTGAAACATGTGATTTGGTGGGTGATGTGTGAAGTCAATGAGAGAGTATATGGACCATAAATGGACGTCCAACTAGTGGGAAAAGACTCCCTACTTTCTCTTGGCCCAAACAAACCCAATAAACACATTTTTCCCCTAAACTACTAAATACACACCTAAAGGAAAAAGTTACAAGGAAATAAATTTCTAATGTATTTGACCTAAAAATACAAGGTCAAAAATAAAAGAAAATATTTATAGAGAAGAAGAAATGGATAATAAAAAATAATCTAGAGCTTAACATGAACTTGGACCTTTGTTTCCTTCAAACCTAACTCACTCTTCTTGAATCTTGTTGGATTTAACCTATAGGCATGATTCCATCACCTAAAGCCTCCAATGGCCATGTTCCATGTGCTCTAGATCTAAAATAGCCTATAAGAGCTTGCTATGTGTGAAGTGTGATTGGTGTGACTAGTTAGTGAGTGGTGCATGTGACTAAATAGAGTGTGTAGCCTACGCAAGGTGCAAGGAACACCCATGTGGACATCTCACTCATCAGAGTAGGGGCCACCCACTAACAGACCCATTTACTTACATGTGCTACTTACTAATTACACTCTTATATATTCTACTAATTACACCCAAAGATAAAAATACATTGAAATAACATTCTATATTACTTGACCCAAAATACAAAGTCAAAATAAAAAAATATATATTTACAAGTTAAAGAAATGAACTAAAAGATAATTCAAAGCTCAATCATGAACTTGAGCCTTCTACCTTCATGTCTAACCTACTCTTGGTTCCTTTATTATTTCCTTGATTATTGTTTTGTTGGACATACCGACCCAGGTGTACTCGTAGTAGGTCCTTAATTTTATCACACAGTGCCCAACACTCCTTAATTATATGATCGACATTACGGTGATAATGACAATGGTTGCCCCTATTGGCACCTTCGTGCCTTTGTCCTGATGAAGGCAAGATGAGGATTTCTACATTTAGGGCTTCTTGGAAGAAAACATTTGATTAAAGAGCATTAAGATGGGTGTAAGAGTTATACTACCTCAACCCTTGAGGGGGCTTGCTCCTTTTAAACTTGTTGTCATTATGTAGTTTTAACCTATCAAGGTTAGAATAGTCCCCCCGGGTGTTGGTAGAATTGGTTTGGGTCTTACATTGATTTACTTCATGCTCTTCCATGTCAATGAAACTAGTTGCCCAAGTTTTGAGCTCGTTCTGAGCTCTTCCAACATGGCATTAAGGGCGATGACTGGGTGGACGTTGCGTATCTTGATTGCCATACTGGAGAATCTTTCTATGATTGCTCGAAGGGGTTCAGCGTCCCCTTGCCTAAACTTAGCAACGCCACTGTTGAGGTTTATTTTATGCGGTCGACTATTTGCATATCCATCTTTTAATGAGTGTTTTAAATTGGCATTGTTGGGGATAAATCTACGGTTGAGTTGAGTATACCATATTATTATTTTTGGTTCTTTTTAGGAGGTTGGGAAGACTCTACACATGACTATATTGTGGTGAGTATAAAGGTGCATTTGTGTTGTGAAGAAAACGAGGTGTTCATTTGGATAGGTTGTCCTGTCGTACCCCCTCTATAGGGCATTTGGTGGTTTTATATATCATATAAATCTGAGCTAGTAGGGGGAAGTGGCATTCCATAACATTTGTGACCATATCTACATACTTGATAATATAGTTAAAAACAGTTTCAGATGAATTATCGTCATGCTTGATCCATCTAACCTAATTGTACAACTCGTCCTGATGAATCTTGGGCATAGCACAGTTCGTCTATGGGCCTTAATTAGCTTGGCCTACACGAACTGCCTTAGACTCGGGCAGCACAAGGGGAGAAGTGCATAATTTTCGTATATATTATATGAGGAAAGAGTGTAATTTTCTCTTTAAAATATACATAAACAAAAACAAGAAAAATAGGTAGGAAAACTTAAATAATAATGCAATATTTATTGGGAAAAACATTCAAAAGTTAAAACTATAATTAATCAACTAAATGTGAAATTAATTATATACGTGTTAAAGAATTTCTTATATATTTTGTTATAGTAGTGTGTGCTCACAATTTATAATAAATTGTGCATTTCTTCGTAGGAGATTCCAGGGTAATTCTTTTGAAGGCCCAATACCGTTGTCATTTTCCAATTTGACTTCTTTGATAGAGTTGTGAGTACTATCTCTAATTAGTTGTGTATAAGCTAGCTTTTAATAATTCATGAAAACTAAGTGCATCATATTTAATATATTTATGAAGGAGAATAAGCTGTTTATTAAATGGGAGCTCTTCAAAGCTGGCATTTTTGAGGAATTTGAAGTCTTTGAATATTTTGTAAGTACACAATTAATTAAGTCTCCCAAATGACACGATGCCTAGTAGATAAAATTCCTTGCATGCTATTTGTTCAAATGCAATGTAACAATTTGGTTCCAATTGTTGCAGAGAACTGAGGAATAATAATATTTCTGATTCAATGCCATCGTTTATCGGACATTTGCAAGATTTAACCCAGTTGTGAGTATCACTGCTATATATACACTTTACAGGCATATCAGCTATCTAGTAAAATAAAATAATATTTCCTACAAAGTAACAAATTTGGAAATGATGAATTTATATTCTGGTGTAAAAGTTTTTATATTAATTACTAGTGACTAACGTTGTCATATATTTAAATAATTGTAAGCTGGGTGAGTTTTATTATAATTCTACTTATTCACTGTTGGCTCACCTTAATCACAGTTAGACTAGACAGGCACGTATTAATAATAAAAGAGTAAGCATTTATAGGAAAAGAAAATATAATAGAAAATAAAATAAATTTCTTTATAAGTTAAAATTAATTTACACATAGTTAATTTATAGAAATATTTTCATATTAGATTCTCTAATTTTTTTATTTTTGGTTAAGTTAATTTTAATTTATGAAAAAAATAATTTTATTTTTGTTTCTTACTTTCTTTTCATATAAGTGTTCCTACCGAAAATTATCTCAACAGAAAGTGGGAGAAAAATGACTTCTAGATATTAGGGCCCTAATTAGAACCAAAATGAAGAAAGAAAAAATTACTTGTTTAGCTTTTTTGTCTTTTGTACTTTCAAAATTTTAATTTTTATGTGGCGAAAATATTCTAATTCCAACTTATTTTTCAAACAGGTAAAATTATTGACCAATTTTTCATTTCTTTGTTTATATTGGTAGTTTTCTAATTGTGTTCAAGTTGCAAAGCTAGATAATTATATATATTTAAACTGGTTGCAGGGATTTAAGCTTCAATAATATCACAGGACACATTCCGGACTCAATTTTCAATCTGGGTTCACTTTCTTACTTGTAATATGCCACTCCTAAAGCAATTTTAATTTATTTAGTAACATGTTTGCATAAAAAGTTAAAGCATATATTTTTTAGTTAATAACCTATATACTGTCAGTAAAATTTTTTTACACTAACAATCAATTATATTTTTTAATTGTGTCATGTCACTATAAACACATTTATTTTTAACAGTGAGATAACACAATTAAAATATATAATTTGTTGTCAATATAATTTTTTTTTTTCACTAATTAACTCTATATTTTTTATTTACTCTTAATTTTAGGTTTCTTGGAAACAACAAACTCAGTGGTACCCTTCCTACCCAGAAAAGTGAGTTTCTTCTCAACATGTGAGTATGCTTGACTTATACGCAAAATTGTAGCTAAAAACAGGTGTTTATACAGTTTCGTTCATCATTATTATACATTTATACTTTAAAATACTGTTGTGTACTGGTTCACGGGCAACGACATTCCCCAATTAGACAAAGAAAAATGCTTCGAAACAAAATGCCAAATTATCTTCCCAATCGTTAAAAAATTGACAGCTATCACTTTTTTAATATAAGTATTAATTTAATTTAAAGTCTGTGAAAGGTTTTTTTTTTTTTTTTCGAAGGATAATTCTACTGTTTTTTTGAGAAGCTGGAGCATAATAACTTTTAGACAAAGCATCTACAACAACATTTGCTTCTCTATAAACATGTCAGAGACTATGTTTCCTTAAAGTACATAAGAGAGCAAGGATGTCCATAAGAAGGGTGATGGGGGCTGAGTAACATGCTGCAACATATGGATAGCCATTTGAGAATCTGATCATTCCACCTCCACAGCTTGAAGAAAGCCACGAGTGCTAGCCATGTGGAGGGTATGTTTGATCGCCCAAAGTTAAGCTTTGACAATGGAGCAAAGCCCTAGATTGCAAGCAACGACAATTAGAAAGTGCCCATCTTCATCTCTAATAAGCCCCCCAGATGAAACATAGCCAGATTGGGGAGAAAAAACCGGATTTTAAAACTGATTTTTCCACTAGTGCAAGTGAAGAGTTTGATTTGTCTAGGAAACAAGCATGCATGGTTATTCTTTTGTTCCCGATGGATGACCATCAGATCCTTAATTGTGTGGTTAGCTCTAACATAGATCTCAAAATTCTGTTGGAATCGAAATTCCCATTGAAAACTTTATCATTTCTCCTTTGCCAAATTTTGTCCAAGATCATACCAAAGAGAAGACTCCAACCAAGCGAATGACCACTATAATGGGAAATATTGGTTATAAGTCACTGAGGGAGACTTTGTTTCCTGAAATTGATGATGTCATTGTGATGATGCTTAGATAACACAAGTGACCAAAGAGTTGAAGGGCAGTCCCTCATGGTATGAAGAATGGATTCCAAACATGAGAGAGATACCAATTCAACATTTGGAACCCAGATTTTTAAGGTTTGTTACAGGGATAACCCGATCATCAAAATGATATTTACCACGGATAACCATCACTCACAACTTATCTTTCTCATAACAAATTTTCCAAGCCAGTTTCATAAGGTAGGCTTCATTCACCTGGCGCATACCATGAATACCCAAACCACTTAAATGCTTGGCCGAGGAGGATAATGTTGAAATAAACTTAACTGTCAGTTTTTAATGGTTTTAATTTAGCAGTTTCTTATTTGGTTCAAATAAAAGGTCAAGAGTCAATAGTTATTAGCAATAATAGGTTTTGATTGTAGGCTGTTAATAGAATTTTAAGCTTTTGAGCTTCTGAAGGACAAATATCAATATATATATACATATATATATATATTATTTTTTAATCTTAATAAATTAGATGATTAAGTCAAAATAGTATATATATATATATATATATATATCATTGTATTGTTTGATTATACAGTGAAATAAAAATAGAGAAATTTCACCTTCTTTATCAGTTTTTTTAATTCTACAAATTGGTATCAAGAGCTAATGGCAAGTGTGACCAATTATCTGCCGCTGCCCCGACTGACGAAGGCGACAAACTACGACAATTGGAGCGTCCAAATGAAAGCTCTTCTTGGGTCTCAAGATGCTTGGGAGGTGGTACAAGAAGGTTTCGAAGAACCAAAAACTACCACGGGATATTCGGCTGCCCAACACAAAATGTTGAAAGAGACGCGATCGAAAGATAAGGCGGCTTTGTACCTGTTGTATCGAGCTGTTGATGAGTCAGGCTTTGAGAAAATTGCGCGTGCGTCAACCTCAAAGGAAGCATGGGATATTTTGGCAAAAGTGTACAGAGGAGCTGACAAGGTTAAACAAGTCTGCCTTCAAACTCTTCGCGGCGAGTTGGAGAACATGAAGATGAAGGAGTCAGAAGGGGTCTCCGATTACATCATACGTTTTCAAACCATGGTGAACCAACTCAACCAAAACGGAGAGACGTTAACTGATGTACGAGTTGTGGAGAAGATTTTGAGGTCGTTAACCGATAGTTTTGAGAATGTCATATGTGCTATAGAAGAGTCAAAGGACCTAACAATGATCACGGTCGACGAGCTCGCCGAATCTCTCGAGGCACACGAACAACGTAAGAAGAAGAAGGAGGAGGAGATACTTGAGCAAGCACTCCAAATCAAGGCGTCAATCAAAGACGAAAAGGCACTCTATTCTCAAAACATTTGAGGTAGAGGGCGTGGCCGTGGAGGTCGAGGAAATGGTCGCGGTGGTAGAGGTTGTAGTAAAGAAGGGTATTATGAGGAGAAAGAGCAATCAAACCAGCAAAGCTGGCGTGGAAGAGGACGTGCTCGTTGTAGAGGCGGTCGGACGAATTATTTCAACATCGAGTGTTACAAGTGTGGCAAATATGGTCACTATGCAAAGGATTGTAATTCCGATAAGTGTTATAATTGTGGCAAGGTGGGGCATTTTGCGAAAGAATTCCAAGTCGAGAAAAAGGTGGAAGAAACAACCAATTTAATCACGGAAGATGAGGAAGCAAAAGAAATTTTTCTCTTGATGGCACATAACGAAGTCAACAGTAACAACAACACGGTGTGGTACCTTGACACGGGTGCAAGCAATCATATGTGCGGGCACAAGCACCTATTCAAAGAATTGAAAAAGGTTGAAACTGGATATGTGTCGTTTGGAGATGCGTCGAAGGTTGAAGTCAAAGGCCAAGGTACGATTTGTTATTTACAAAAGGATGGCTTAGTTGGGTTAATCCAAGAAGTGTATTACGTACCAGATCTCAAGAGAAACATTTTGAGTATATGGGGAAACTCATGGAGAAAGGTTATACGGTACTTATGAAAGATCGGGAATTACACTTGAAAGATAAGCACAGGGTTTTGGTCGCTCGAGTTGAAATGGGGAGAAATCGCATGTATAAGATGAATTTGAGAAACGTTCAAGAAAAGTGTTTGCGAGTCAACGTAGAAGACAAGGCGTCAATGTGGCATCTTCGTTTTGGTCATCTACATTATGGTGGTCTAAACGAGTTGGCAAAGAAGAACATGGTGCACGGGCTACCGCACATGAATTACGAGGGAAAATTTTGTGAAGAATGTGTGCTCAGCAAGCATACGAGAACTTCATTTCAAAAGAAGGCAAAATATCGTGCTAAGGGACCTCTCGAATTAATTCATATCGACATATGTGGATCAATGACCCTTGAATCTTTTAGCGGTAAAAGGTATTTCATTTCCTTCGTTGATGATTTCTCACGAAAAACTTGGGTTTATTTTCTGAAGGAAAAATCTGAGGCTTTCGAGGTGTTCAAAAAGTTCAAAGTGGTGGTGGAAAAGGCGTCCAGTAGACACATCAAATCAGTACGATCCGATAGAGGTGGTTAGTATACTTCAATGGCTTTCATGGATTATTGTGAGGAGGAAGACATAAGGCGATTTCTAACCGCACCGTACTCTCCCCAATAAAATGGTGTGGCCGAGAGGAAGAATCGGACAGTTCTTGATATGGTTCGGTCAATGCTCAAGAGCAAGAAGATGCTGAAGGAATTTTGGGCGGAAGTTGTGCAATGTGCTATCTATGTGCAAAATCGGTGTCCACATGCGAAGCTGGATGATCAAACTCTACAAGAGGCATGGAGCGGACAAAAACCAACAGTTTCTCATCTCAAAGTATTTGGTAGTGTGGCCTATGCACACGTGCCAAATCAGCGAAGAACGAAGCTCAAAGACAAAAGCAAAAGGTATATTTTTATTGGGTATGACGAGAAAGCAAAAGGATACAAGTTGTTAGACCCAATAAGCAAGAAGGTCGTGGTAAGTCGTGATGTACGAGTTAATGAAGCAAGCAAGTGGGATTGGAGTAACTCAACAGAGGTTATCAACGAAGATGGAGGATCTTCAACCATTATACCAACAATTAAATCAACAAATCTTGAAACTATTGATGATGAAAATGAACCGCAACAACCCAAAATGTGAAGCTTGCAAGATTTGTATGACTCAACAAATGAGGTACACATTGTCTGTCTCTTGGCTGATTCTAAAAATAGAAGTTTTGAAGAGGTAGTGCAAGACATGAAGTGGAAAATAGCCATGGACGAGGAGATTAGAGCAATTGACCGCAACAACACATGGGAGTTAGCGGAATTGCCAAAAGGAAGTCAACCCATTGGTGTGAAGTGGGTGTTTAAGAGAAAGATGAATGCTCAAGGCGAGATAGAACGGTACAAGGCACGACTTGTTGCAAAGGGATACAAGTAAAAGGAGGGAATTGACTATGATGAGGTGTTTGCTCATGTTACAAGAATGGAGACAATTCGATTGCTTATTTCACATGCGGCTCAACTCAAATGGCCGATATTTCAAATGAATGTCAAGACGACATTCTTGAATGGTGTACTCGAAGAAGAAATCTACATCGAACAACCACCTGGATATGTGAAGAGTGGAGAAGAGAAGAAGGTGCTGAAATTGAAGAAGGTGCTCTACGGGTTGAAGCAAGCACCGCGGGCATGGAATACTCGCATTGATACATACTTCAAGGAGAACAAGTTTGAACAATGTCCCTATAAACATGCCCTTTATGTGAAAAAGAGTGGAATTAATATGTTATTTGTAGCTCTTTATGTTGATGACCTCATTTTCATGGGGAACAATGATGAAATGGTACAAGAGTTTAAGAGCACAATGGCACGGGAATTTGAGTGACATATTTGGGTTTGATGAAGTTTTTTCTTGGTCTAGAGGTAAGACAAGGAGAGACTGGGATTTTTGTGTTATAGGAGACATATGCAAAGGAGATTTTGGAAAAATACAAGATGACATATTGCAATCCAGTATCAACACCAATGGAACCGGGTGCAAAACTCTCAAAATTTGATGGAGGAGATCGAGTCGATG